TTCAAGACTAGCCTGGCCAACATGGTGAAATCCCGTCTCTACTAAAACTATGAAAATTAGCTGGGTATGGTGGCACACATCTGTAATCCCAGCTACTGGGGAGGCTGAGGCAGGAGAATTGCTTGAACCCGGGGGCGGAGGTTGCAGTGAGCAGAGATTGTACCATTTCACTCCAGCCTGGGTGACATAGCACAACTCTCTCTCAAAACAAAAAGAAAAGAAAAAGAAAAAAAAGCAACACTTAAGGGCAGAGAGGGATAGAGGACAGAAAGGAGAGGATCTTAAACAGCAGCAGAAGAGTTTGCACATTAAGACAGGGGAAGGCAAGGAAAGGATTTCAATAGGAGAACAACAATCACATCTGTTTTAAGGCCTTACCAATTAAGGCCTCTTCCAATTAAGTTATAAATCCTGGCCTAGGGTTGGCCTTCCAGGCCCTATTTAACTCCTAGGTAGCGGAAGAGGAAGGTACCAAAGAAACAGATATAAAATCACTTTTTATTATTCAATTAGGATTTTCTTTTTGCAGACAGATACTGTTTTACTCATTTGTCTCAAAGGGGTGTGTAGTTGAAGGAAGAGAAAAAAGTGGCCAGGAGGCCAGGGCAGCCGCTCCAAGTCAGGGGCCGGCTGTTCTGGGGAGCTCTGCGCCCAAACCAGAGCCCAGGCTTCCCTCCCGGTGCGACAGGAGCGGAACTGACCTTGAACAGGATGACTAGGATCACAATGAAAACCAGAAGCCCACCGACACTGCCTTTGATGATGACAGGCAAAGAAGAGCGCTTCTCCTCCCTCAGGAGGGTGATCGTGATCTACACAAGACAAAGATCATCCGATGAATCAGGTGAAGCAAGTGAGGAAAAAATTCTACACATTGTTTTAAGGAGCAAAGCACAAGCACTTGGCAACACCCCGTGTATTGATCAAAACTGACAACAGTCAAGCAGAAAGAGAAATAGTCCCTGACACAGCATTTTAAACCATCTAAAATTATCCAATCATCCAAAGACTTTGGAAGAAACTATTCGGGCCTCTTACCTAGAAGGGCTAGATCTCTCAGGAGATTGTGATCTTCTGTTAAAGATGCTCTGACAGCTTCAAAGAGGGCCCCAGAGAATTCGGTCTCCACCCAGAACTGCGAGACAGTCATGCAGCTGCGCGGCTCTACACCCCGGAGCCCCACACCTATTCTTTAAAATGATAAGGCCGGGCGCGGTGGCTCACGCTTGTAATCCCAGCACTTTGGGAGGCCGAGACGGGTGGATCACGAGGTCAAGAGATCGAGACCATCCTGGTCAACATGGTGAAACCCCGTCTCTACTAAAAATGCAAAAATTAGCTGGGCATGGTGGCGCACGCCTGTAGTCCCAGCTACTTGGGAGGCTGAGGCAGGAGAATTGCCTGAACCCGGGAGGCGGAGGTTGCGGTGAGCCGAGATCGCGCCATTGCACTCCAGCCTGGGTAACAAGAGCGAAACTCCGTCTCAAAAAAATAAATAAATAAAATAAAATAAAATGATGACTGACTTTAAATGATCTCCAAGCCTTTTCCAACAATATTCTGATGGCTCCTTCTCATCTTGCACAGATCCCTAAAGGCTTCAGTAATACATTTCCCTACATGAAATACATGTAGTACAAAAGTACTGCTCTCCTCCTCACCAGACTAAAAAGTGTGTACTACCTAAGGGACATCATAAATGCAGATTACATCCATGTGTACTGCTTGCAGAGCTCAGCCGTGAGAGTGAGCCTCAGCTTTTCCACCTGCAGAGCTCAGCTATGAGTCAGCCTCAGGTTTTCTACCTGCAGAGCTCAGCCATGAGAAGTCAGCCTCAGCGTTTATTTTCCACAGGCTGTCCCAATTTCTGGAGTCTCATCTCTCTTTGGACAGGGCTCAGCTGGAAAGTTCAGGGGATGTGCTTCCTGAGATCCAGGTATGGCCCTTCCAAGTTGTGACCACCGCAAGTTCCCAGGACTTGGGTGGGGCCAGAGAGCCAAGAAGACTTCTCTGCCCACCTAGAGCACTGAGTTCCCTTCATGCATACATTTAAATGCCAAGGTCAGGGATGCTTTGGAGAGGTTTCTGTACAGGATGAAGGGCTGGACACACTTACCTTTAAGGCCTCTTCCAATTAAGCTGTAAGTGCTGGCTGACCTAAAGTCGACCTTCCCGGTCCCCTTTCACTCGCAGGTAGCTGAACTAATAGGAGTGAAGTCCCAGGCCTTGTGAATAGGGAGGTGCCATAGCAACAAAGAGGGAGGAAGAACAGAAAGGGGACCAGAATATTCCTCTACAGGAGAAGAAGGGGGACTCGAGAATCTGGATTTGGGAAATGAAAGGAAGTCCCGAGGTGACAGTTGGGAAACAGGCCAGATCTGAGCAGAAGAATTGTCCCTATTTCTCAAAGCCGTCTCCCTTTAGCCTCTTCTAAACCCACAGATTCCCCAAGGTGTCCCAACAATGCCCTGGCAGAGGTTAAGGGGGAAGCGGGACACCGGGTACCACCGCCTGCAGCAAACACTGATGCTGGTACCCACAAACACCGACACGGGCACCCAGAAACACCGATGCTGGTACCCAGAAACACCAACACGGGCACCCAGAAACACCGACGCTGGTACCCAGAAACACCGACGCGGGCACCCAGAAACATCGACGCGGGCACCCAGAAACACTGATACTGGCACCCAGAAACACTGATGCAGGCACCCAGAAACAAATGCGGGCCTGCCCAGCGCCCACTCTCTCCTGTCAGATTTTGTTCAGACTCATGACTGGTCTAAGGTGATCATGACACAGCTAACTTTGCCAGTGACTGACATGAGACTCAGATCTCACTAATAAGATGTAAGAGGAAGTCTCCTGGGAGCTTTTGGGAAATGTTTCATCCCTGAAAAGGGAATGAAAGAAAAATCTTTTTCTGAGTTCTTCCTGTTTTGTATCCTGCCATGTGAAAATACAGCCTGTGGAGATGTGGCAAGTTCGTGCTGGCCGTGAAGGAAAGCATCCCCAACACAGAAGAGTGCAAAGACCAAAGAAGTCAGACCATCGCCCCAGGTCGGCCTCCCGCGCTGCATAACCAGCATGCGGCCTTCGGCTGTGTCAGCTGGACTTTCCCCTTCCTGTGTCTGCAATGCATTTGGATACACAGTTATTTATACTCACAGAGTCGCTGTAAATCAGGTGCTTATTATTGTCAGGGACCACTTAATACTGCTTAGGATATTGGATTTAAAGAAAGGAATTTTGGGGAATCTGCTATAGAAATAAAACCATCAGTAACTAAGAGGGGGAAATACGTCAATTTAAAATGTGCACAGAAGAAACATATTAGTAACTCCTCCCTGCTGGGGCACAGGAAGGGAGAAAGTGCAGAAGCCATTGTTTTTCATTTCATACCCTTCTCTGTATGGCTGGGATTTTCTTGCTATTACTTTCATTTGTTAAATCTGGGGCTCTTCTATTTCATTTGTTTTCTAAGTGGTATTAGAAATACACTACTTAGCCGGACACAGTGGCTCACACCTGTAATCCCAGCACTTTGGGAGGCCGAGGTGGGAGGATCACCTGAGGTCAGGAGTTCGAGACCAGCCTGGCCAACATGATGAAACCCTGTCTCTATTAAAAAAAAAAAAAAATTAGCCAGGCATGGTGGTGGGTACCTGCAATCCTAGCTACTCGGGAGTCTAAGGCAGGAGAATCACTTCAACCACCTCACGGTAGAGGTTGCAGTGAGCCAAGATGCCAACACTGCACTCCAGCCTGGGTGACAGAACAAGATTCCGCCTCAAAAAAAAAAAAAAAAAAAAAAGAAGAAGAAGAAATACACTATTTAAAAAGAATCAAAAATGTCATATTGACATGTCTACACAATTGCTCCTTTCTCCTCCTCCAGGGAGGAAAACGGAGGGACTTATATTTAGCATCCAGCATCACTCTCCTGACACTCCCTCTAATAAACAATCATGACTAACTAGAGAGCTCACAGACAGATCACCTCTGAAGCCATGTCCACACAAGTGCCAACAAGAATGAAAACACAGGGTAACACACACAGCGTTCAGTCCATAAATCACAGGCATCAGTTTCACTTCTAGTCATACTTTTACAAAAAGAATTCCAAGAGCTGCAGTATTTAGTCTACATCTTATAAAACACTTACGCAGTCCTGAGTACTATTTAATACTATAAACAGATACTGCACACTAAGACAGTTAATGTATACAAAAATCAATTTCGCACTTAGGAAATTTTATTTACTTATTTATTTTGAGACTGAGTCTTGCTCTATTGCCCAGGCTAGAGTGCAATGGCGTGATCTTGGCTCACCACAAACTCTGCTTCCCAGGTTCAAGAGATTCTCCTGCCTCAGCCTCCCGAGTAGGTGGGATTACAGGTGCCCACTATCACGCACAGCTAGTATTTGTATTTTTAGTAGAGACAGGGTTTCACCATGTTGGCCAGGCTGGTCTTGAACGTCTGACCTCAAGTGATCCACCTGCCTAGGCCTCTCAAAGTGCTGGGATTATAGGTGTGAGCCACGGGCGCCCGGCTGGAAATTTTTTTTTAAATCAGTACATTTTCAAATCACAGTATATACCGCAGTTGATTCCAGCCTAGTTACTTCAACTCACAACTCCTCAGCGTAGGCCTCTTACTAAAGTGCCTTATTTCACAGGCAAGAAGCTGACTCACTCAAGGCCACAAAGGCAGCGATGGCAGAGCCAAGATCAGAAGTGTTAAGGCTGAAAACAGGCAAAGGGCAACAACAGAACGTCTGTGCAGGCACTCAAAGGTGAGGCACCGTTTTCCTTGGGCACTACTCAGAAGCCAGCCAGGAATTACCTTAGTTCTGTGGTTCTCTGCATTCAGCCCCTCATATAGAGATTTGTTGAAATATATTTCACCAAGGATTTCCAGTTCAGTTACATCTTTTAGTAACTAGAAGAGGGGGAAAGGAAAGAGGGAAACAAAACATGTTTTAGACGTGAACTCATTTTTGTTTGTTTTTTTTTTTTTTTTTTTATTATTTTGTTTTTTTTTTTGCTTTTCTTTTTTTTTTTTTTCTTTTGTGTGAACTAATTTTTTTTTGAACTGCATTCACTACCTTTTCCTTTAAAGGTATTTCTGGGGTTAGTTAACGGCCCCAACATACACAGCACAACACAAAGTTACCCAAACAAGAAATCCACAGTTATTCTTCAACATTTATTTTTTGAGACAGATTTTCGCTCTTTCGCCCAGGCTGGAGTGACGTGGAACCATCGTGGATTCTCCTGACTCAGCCTCCCAAATAGCTGGAATTACAGGCACCCGCCACCACACTCGGCTATTTTGTATTTTTAGCAGAGACGGAGTTTCATGATGTTGGCCAGGCTGGTCACTCCTGACGTTGTGATCCGCCCACCTCGGCCTCCCTAGGTGTTGGGATTACAGGTGTGAGCCACTGCACCCAGCCTATTCTTCAACTTTTTTTCCCTTGTGCCATCCAAAGTCAGTTCTTGACTGATTGATTTACTTTTGAGACAGGGTCGCTGTCACCCATGCTAGAGTGCAATGGCATGACCACGGCTCACTGTAGGCTCAACCTTCCAGGCTCAAGCAATCCTCCCACCTCAGCTTCCGGAGTAGCTGGGACCGCAAGCACGTTTGATACCACACTGGGCTAATTTTTGTATTTTTTGTAGAGACAGGGTTTTACCATGTTACCCGGGCTGGTCTCAAATTCCTGGGCTCAAGCAATCTACCCACCTTGGCCTCCCACAGTGCTGAGATTACAGGCATGAGCCACTGCACCCAGCTTGT